ACACACACATTCATACAGCACTCTAATACACACAGATTCATACAGCACTCTCCTACACACAGATTCATACAGCACTCTACTACACACATTCATACAGCATTCTACTACAACTTTACAAAGATATTCTGATCTGTAGAGAATAATCAGAGCTTTATCACATTCATACACTGCTGGGTTACACATCAGAGGTAATGGGGGGTTCAGTGTCTTGCCCAGGGACACTTCAACATGTGAATGCTGGTTGAATCGAACCCCCCAACCCTCCCATTGGAGAACTACTCTAATTCCTCAGCCACAGTTGCCCCAAACAGTTTAGACTAATAATTCATTAAAAAAAACATTTTTTATCAAAGGTTGGTAGAATATCCCCTCTTCATCCCTTTGTATGTTTATGTGTGTGTGCGTGTGTGTGTGTGTGTTTGTGTGTGTGTAGACACTGTGGTTACAGCAAAGCCTTCCAGGACTCTGATGAGGAGAAGATGCATTATCAGAACGGTCATGGTACGTTTGGCCCATTCCTCAATTATCACTTATAATAAATAATGTTTTTTTAGAGGAACTGCATCCTCATCCATCTGTATTAAAGTTCATTTTGAGAGCAAACCCTTTCCATCAGCCTCTGATCACGGGCGAGCTGCCCCTCCCCTGGCGCTCCCTGCACACACCGGTGACGGGGCTTCAGATGGATGCTGCTCTCATCCTCTGATCTGTGACCAAATGCTAATGTTGTTTATTTTAGTGTCATTTCCCGATGCGAGGTTCTACATCGACCCGCACACATACGAGGACCCCTGCCAGACAGTCCACGAGTTTGCTCGAGAAATTGAAGCTTCCAGGATCAAAATCGAAAAAATCATTGGCTCAGGTAAAACCTAGCGCTCGTGTGTTCTTGTACACACAAACAGATGAAGAAACACACGCACACACACACACACACACACACACACACACACACACAGGGAGAGTCAGTGGCTAAGCTAACTTAAAATGATGTGTGGGTGTGAAGGCAGAGAGGAGGATAGCAGAGTTTAATCAGAGTGTTGCTCCATCAGAGCTTTTCAGCCACAGGGGGAATACTAACACTGTCGTCATCCCCACAACACACACCCTGTCTCATACTTGACTGCTACAGGCACACACAAACACAATATCCACAGTCACAGAGCTGAAGATAAGACACACGTGCATATCCTGTCGAGCAGATTTTCTTCTCTTATCTTTTTCTTCTTTTATTTAACCATTAAAGTCCCACTGAGATTAAAGACCTATTTTAAGACCAAGACAGGCAGCAGCAATTCCAAAACATAGTTACCACATCACTGTCAAGACAAAAAAATGAAACGTCAAATTGAGAAACATTAGGAAAAGAAATAAAAACTTATAAACAACTAAAACAAGACATTGTTAGCCTCAAGTCCTGTCAATTTTGATTTCAAAGATCTCAACAACATGAACTCTGTCAGTTTCAAGTCTTTCTGCAGTGTATTTCATGTAGCAGCTGCAGGATGGACAAAAGCGTTTAACTCAATTCAGTCCATGCAAACAGAACAGAAAGCAACAAATAGTTCTGTGAGTGGATAGAGAGATCCAGCACCTCTTTGTACAAGCAGTGTACAAATATGTCAAGAAGGAGTCCACATATTGCTTTTTATGTGAATATATACCAACGGCTGAGCCTTCTGGTGGTCAGAGCAGGCCATTCTATCCTGGAGTATAACTCACAGTGATGGCAATGCCTTATGAACCTCGTAATAAACAGGGTCAATCATTCAAAGACATCAAGAAGACACAGTCATATACAAAAGATCTTCATAATCCAACACAGGTAAGAAAGTAACAGCAACTACCACCTTTAAAGATTAAAATACAAATAACTTAATTCAGAAAGTTAAAACCAAATTTTACTCTCAGCCTCTTCACCGGTTTCCGCTCATGTGGCTTGAAATTAAGGGAGTCTTCAATCAAAATTCCTAGATATTTATACTGTACACATGAACCAGCTTTATTTCAGTTCCTTTGAGCATGGTCATAGAATAAATCAAAAGAACTTTTTTGCTGGCATTGGAAAACAGCACAAGCTGAAACAAGCTTCAGCTCAAGTAATGAAAGCTGGATGGCATCAAAGACTTTCTGCAGTGATTCAACATCCAGGACAAGAGGTGATCCACAGCATTAAATAACTGTATCATCAGCATAGAAGTGCAAACCAGCATCTGACACATTTAGACCCAAATCACTGATATAAACATTGAATAAAAGGGGACCCAGAACAGAACCCTGCGGCACCCCCTTATGTACTGTGTCGAGTTCTGAACCCCTACCATTGATATAAATGATCCAACCAGGCAGATGAACAGACACTCAAATGATTCAAGAGATGCCCAGTCTGAGCACAGTGGATACTCGCTGTTGATATTTAAAGGGATAGTCTGGTTATTTTTGAAGTGTTCTGTTAATAGTACTGTATCGGCCATGACATCTGTCACAATTCACAAAGGGTGTAGAAAGAGGCAAAAGTCATCATCCAGGCTAGGTTAATGATCATCTTAGATTAAGATAATCAATGACTGACAGAAAATTAGTTCATCATTATTTCTTTTAAGGCTGGAGGTTTTTTAAGTACATCTGTTCTGTCATGCGTTCAGGGGAGTTTGGGGAGGTGTGTTACGGACGCATGAGGCTCCCAGGAAAACGAGACGCCGCAGTGGCCTTGAAGACCCTGAAGGCAGGATATACAGAGAAGCAGAAGAAGGATTTCCTGGCTGAGGCGTCCATAATGGCCCAGTTTGACCATCCGAATGTCATCCACTTGGAGGGAGTGGTAACTCGCAGTAAGCTGACACTGAAAGCAAATGCCTGCATACAACAGACATGACTTGGTTGACTGAGGGATGCATCATTGGTTGTGCAATAGGGGTTGAACGACTACATAATTTTTAAACTCAACAATAACATAATACAACTCAAACAGAACTCGAGTACTTGATGACATCATAGGATCTAAAGATACAAAAATAAATAAATAAATAAAACCGCAAAAAAGGTCATCATTTACAAAAAAAGACCAACAAAACATTGGGAGCATATATTATGCTCCTACCATTTACCATACTGCAAATAAATCACAAGAAAACCAAGACTATTAGTTATTATTATTATTAAGTTGCAAAAGTGAAAGAAACATGCAACACGTCAAAAACTAAACTAAAAACAGTGGGGGGGGGTCGACCACCCCGCACCACCGCCAGCTGTGGTGCTCATTAGGTTTAGTTTTAGAGATTAATATGTTTATAGGTTTTTATAGGTTTAGAGATTAATATTTTTTGCTTTTAGTTTGTGAAACAAGGTCAGAGGAAGCTGGTTCTGGTTCGGTCTATTGGACCCGGTGTTACACCATATTCTGTGACCTGCAACAGCGCATGCAACACCGCCCCCTACGGTCACAATATACGGTGGTCACAGAATATGGTGTAACACCGGTTTACAACAAGCTCCAAACAGTCAGGAAGTTGATTCATCTCCTGTTTCCTTACGGTAGTTGAACCAGAAGATTCATCTTTAGTGAAATATTTCCAGACTACTGATGCATTTCTACCAATTTGTCAAGACTGGGCCTGCTCCGCTCCATCCGTCTGCTTGGAGGAATCCATTTTGTAACCCGTGCCTGGTGCGAATCATGTGACGCAATGACGTAACGGCGACGTAACGACGTCACCACGAATACTTGACGTGAAATTTAAAACCTCGATAGATGTCCTAGGAATCACCATGTAGATTACTCGAGTAGTCTGTTAAAGCCCTATTGTGCAATAAGTCTGTAACGAGTAGTTTTATTTTACTTTATGAGAGTGTTCCCTCCCAGCTCCTGCAGCTATGTCCTAAACGGCTCCTGTTTCTGTGTGATGAGCAGAATGCTGCGTTCAGAAACACTAACAACACATGATGTATAAGTGACTGAAAACACTCAAGAAAATAGTGACATCACTTCAAACAAAAGAGAGTTGGTGTTACTCATCACTTCAGGAAACTCGTCATGAACTCACATCAGGAGGAGCAGGACAGAAGTTTGTTAGACTCTGCAGATAATCTGAAGATTATCTGCCTTTACACTTTCCAAACTATGATCATATTCTACTTAAAGGCCCTATTTACACGGACATGGTGGGGGGGGGGAACATAGGTTTTTTCGTATGTTAATTAGAGGAAAAGATTTGAGTTGACACAAACAGATTTTGTGTTTACATGCATCCAGAGGAATCCAACATTGTCAAGACCCCAGAGCTCTCAGAAACATCGCTGAGGTCTCGGACCTCCCTAAAATAATAAAATATAATCTTCTCACCCTCAGTACATGTCTCAACTCTGGTTGGACTTCCATCACCTCACTCGACCCACCAGCAAATCTGGCCTCACTACAATCGTCATTGCAGTCGGAGGACTTTCAGCTCAGGAGATTAATTCCCCTCCATTTCAAATCCAAGCCTGGCGGCACGAGGTCAAATATTAGGGCCAGCCTCCAAGGACCAAAATGTTGGAGAACAATATTCTCACTTTATCTCACTTACTCAAACGGAGCCACACTCGATGGCGGGAGAAGATTATTTACAGGTTTTTACTTGCAAGGACAGATTTTCAGGAAAGGTTACACAGAAATACAGGAAGTACACACAGGCATACAGGAAGTACATACAAATATACAGGAAGTACACACAGACATACAGGAAGTACACAAAGATATCGGCTGTGGCTGAGCGGTTAGAGCAGTCGTCCTCCAATGCAAGAGTTGGGGGTTCAAATCCACCAGCAGTCATATGCCGAAGTGTCCCTGGGCAAGACACTCAATGCCTCTGATGTGTGTCCCATCAGTGTCTGAATGTGATAAAGCTCTGATTAGTCTCTTTAGAATGATTTGTTCAATTAGCTTTGTAGAGATCTAGTATAGAGCTGTATGAATGGGTAAATGAGACACAGATTGTTGTAAAGCACTTTGAGTATCTGGATAAGATAGAAAGGTGCTATATAAGTACAGTCCATATACAGGAAGTACACACAGGTATACAGGAAGTACACACGTATACAGGAAGTACACACAGATATACAGGAAGTACACACATGAAGCCCAGTCATGAGAATCTGCCACAGGCCATGTGTTAAGCTTGTTTTTATACTCTTATCAGTTCAGCCGAGCTCACAGACTTGGAGGCGTCCTTGGAGCAACAGCTGCACAAAGCAGCTTCACCCAGCTCCTCATCCAACTCTCTTTGATAACCCAAATATTCTGTTCATGGGCAGAGTTAACATTCTCAGCCATAGTAGTTAAAACATCCATAAACTTTGACTAAAAATTCTCAAACACTTTTAAAGACAGTCAGACTAACATGTATGTGTTTTTGTTGTCCGTTTAGGTAAACCAGTGATGATTATCACAGAGTACATGGAGAATGGCTCTCTGGATGCTTTCCTCAGGGTTGGTATTCATCCTCTCAGCTGTTTCATCACTACTGGACGTGTTGCTTCTTGTTTTCTGTACCTTTCAGAATGAAGCGCTTGTTCATCTGAGTACATTTGTTTAATAATGTCTCTGATTTCAATGGATTGAAGTGTGTGTGCATGCATGGGAGCGGCAGGGGGGTGGGGGTGGGGGGGTGTCCTTGTATTTGCAGGCTGATCAACTATTGTAGTGAATAGTAACACTAGGATCAGTTCCTAGAAATACCAAAAAGCCTCCAAAGCATGTGAACACACACACATCTGCAGTGTGTTTCAGTGTGCAGCTGATATTAGCTGATCTTTGTGTTTTCATATGTTTTTTCTAATTGCCGCACACGTGTTGTGCATTTACTGCATGAGTTCTTCTGGTCTGCTCCTTGTCCTTTGTAGGTTTCAGTGAAAGCAATGAAGGAACTTTGAGAACAGTAAAACAACTCTTGGCATTAACGTTTTCATGCAGCGTTCAGCACGTGTTGTGATCGACTGCACCCTGCTGTGATTTGGCGCTATATAAACAAACGGAACTGAAATTAATTCTCAGCCAATACCACAATACATTTGAGCTCAGTGTGTGTTGACTGAATTATAGTTAGTTCTGTATTGTCTAAGGGCAGTTGGCTGTGGCAGCCATCTTGAATTAGTTTGGCTCCCAAAGGTCTTTAGTCATGGATCCAGTTACAATAATTATTTCCTGACAGTGGTATTAAAATAATAAATTATACCATTCGTAGACATGGTTTTATTCTAATGGGCTAAACTTTAAACACTTATCAGAATATGTGACAAAGATCAGTCTCAGCTACTACCACACAAAGTCTTAAGAAGTCACTATATCTAACATGCTGTTATTTCCGTGCCCTTTAAGGTCAATTGGCTGTGGCAGCCATCTTAAATCATGCTGTCTGTAGAAATGAATCAGTCTTTGCTGCTTACAGCTCTTTTATTGTCTTAAATGACATTACTTCATAATTAATTTGTCTTGATTAAAATCTGCCCTGTGGTCAAAGCTGCTCATCTTTGCTGTAAAGTCCATTTCATTTTGTCTCGTTCCCTCCTGACCTGCCCCTCCTGTTTTTAGAGGCACGATGGCCAGTTCACCATCATCCAGCTGGTCGGGTTGCTGCGAGGAATCGCGGCAGGCATGACCTACCTGTCTGATCTGGGCTACATACACCGGGACCTGGCCGCCCGCAACATCCTGGTCAACAGCAACTTCGTGTGCAAGGTATCGGACTTTGGCTTGTCCCGAGTGCTGGAGGACGACCCAGATGCTGCATACACCACCAGTGTGAGTTTTCACATTGAGGCAAGCATTATGGCAGCAACACGCACACACACACACACACACACACACACTTCACCTCACCCCTGCAGTTTGTTGGTTGTTCTTTTGATGCTTCCTTGTTCTCTTACTTCTGTGGGACAGCACAGTAAAAAGACTTTAAACTGTTTCAACTGCGTATTAAAATAAAGCTTGTGTGAACACTGACTAAGTATTCACAGTGTTCTTCTCTTTGGATGCTTCTTCATATGTACAAATCCACCATAGAAATACAAAGAGGTCTCTTCAATTTAAAATGTTTTCTTTGAAATCTGCTTCAGCATACTTGCTCGATTTTTGTTTCCTTAAGTTACAGTAACATTTTAGCTACTGCCATGCTAATGTTAGCTTTTAGCTTAGCTGAGGTTTTACCAATTTGAGTTTTTAGCTCCTGTTTTGTTATTTGTAACTTTTAACCTCTGTTTTGCTACTTTAGTGTTTAGGTACTGCATTTTGCTAATTGTAGCTTTTAGCTATACTCAGTTCTTTTTTAGCTTTTAGAGAAGGTTATAATGTATAATGTAATGTGACAATGTTGTAAGTGAACACAACTGAAAACGGTTCATAAATCACAAGTAAAGTGTCCATGTCTCGTTCAGAGGTAAGATTTCAGAAATTATTCCAGTCCATCAGAACCATCCCCCCCCCCCCCCCCCCGCCAAAACTCTCCACCACTCCTTCGTTGAGAGAGAGCCCGTCTGACTGGTAGGTAGACAGGAGCTCAGGCACTCCCCCCACCCCCCACTTGAAATTCTCCATAGATCCTCTGGCAGTCTGTGAGGGAACACTGAAGGAGGAAGGAGCTGGATCTCAGAATTGTTTGTCTCTTTCTTTGGCCGTTGATTCCTCCTCTGACAGCGTGGACCAAGATCAGGACTGAGCCAGAACTCCTCCTCAGGCTCTGAGTCATCGTCGGAGGACCATAAGGAGTACAGTTGTAGCGAAGTGGGAGAAGAAGTTGGCTTGAAAACCATGTGGCTGCCTCTGAACCGAGCCTTTCTCCTCTCTTCCTCCTCTTCCAGGAGTGGTGAGGGGAGAATCTCAACCTCAGAGCTGTGGTGTCTCCGGACGGGTTCAATCAGGAATGCAGCTGTATCCTCCTGGATGTGGTTCGTCCCATCTCTCCACCAGGCGGTCCAGTCAGTCCAGGTCTCTTGCCTGCCGGGCTCTTTTGCTGGTTGGGGCGTACTGTCAGGATTGGGTGTGTTCGAAGATGAACCCAGTGGTACAGGCAGAAACTCTGAGACTCAAGGAGTAAAATTAAATAAAATACTTTTAATGAACACAAAATAAAGAGGCTGTCATGGCAGCTCTACTTACAAACTCTGGGATAACCTTAACACCTTAACAACCAATTAAAATATACAAGAATGCAGGAAATGACATCTACTTTATTCAAAATTTTCTGGGAGAGAACCCCCAGACACCCCCCCCCCCCACCACCACCACTACCACCACCAGTGTGTCCCCCACATTACAAATGCTTTTGATGCCAATGGGCATGAAAGAAGAACATGGTCAAGCAGTGGGAACAGGCCTTTAAGAGGTTTGTCCAGGCCAACCATAAATGAGTTTTTGCTGTTAGCTAAATGATCTGCTGTATTTGGCTTGCTGCTGTTGTTGTTTGTTTATTGTTTATTTTTTGGTCGACACCATCTTTCCTATTTATGTCCTCATTAAATTAGGATATGTTAGTGAATGTATTTTACCTGAAGCATGTTGTCTTTTCCCCTAATTTTCTTCTTGAAGTATACCTGGACTGGTCATGACTCGCATCGGAATGGCCATCGACATCGGCAAGGACCCTCATCAGTGTGCATGCCGTGAGAGCCAATCAACAGAGGATGCCATCTCCTCTGTGGTCCACGCTGCGCTCAACCACCTGGAGCAGAAAAAACTCTTACGTCTGTATGCTCTTTGTGGACTTCACATCCGCCTTCAGCACCATGGTCCCCCGGGCCCTGGTGGACGGACTATCCGCACTAGGACTAGGCCCCTCCATTTGCAGCTGGGTACTGGACTTTTTGGCAGGCGGACCGCGGTTGGTGGGGATCCGCGGCCTCTCCTCCTCCACCATGGCCCTCGGCACTGGCTCTCCTCAGGGATGTGTGTTGGGCCCCCTCCTGTTTACTCTGCTCGCGTGTGATTGTGCAGCTGCCCATCCAGGCTGTCGCATTGTGGAGTTTGCGGATGGTGCGGCGGTGGTGGGATGCGTTGCGGGCAGTGATGGGTCCGGCTGCGGGCAGGAGTTGGAGCACCTGGGGAGCTGGTGCAAAGAGAATAACCTTCACATCAATGTGGAGAGGACAAAGAAGATGATTGTGGACTTCGGAGGGAACGGGGGCATCTACACCCCCCTGAACATGGGAGGATCTGTGGTGGAGGTGGTCTCCAGCTGCAAGTGCTTGGGTGTACGCATGAATGACGGCCTCAGCTGGAGCAACAACACCGCCAGCCTGATCGAGAAAGCTCATCGGAGACTCTACTTCCTCAGACGGCTGAGGCGAGCTGGTCTGGGAGGCTCAGTCCTCACCTCCTTCTGCAGGTGTGCAGTGGAGAGAATCCTGTTCTCGAGCATCAACGTGTGGCGTCGAGGCTACACAGCTGCAGAGGGAGGAGCTTTGCGGAGAGTGGTGAAGGCTGCACAGAAGTCTGTCGGAATCAGCCTCCCCACCATCACAGACATCTACACCTCCATATGCAGGAGGAGGGCCACCTGCATCATGAAGGACCCCACTCACCCAGCACACACACTTTTTGCCCCACTCCCCTCAGGAAGGGGGTTGGGGAGCATTGAGTGTAGAACCACTGGACTGAGGAGCAGCTTCTACCCTGAGGCTGTTGGACTCATGAATCTCTAACTAGAATAATCACTGTGAAAAACCATATCATGTTGCTGCTGATCTGTTTCATGTTGCTGCTGATCTGTTTCATGTTGCTGCTGGTCTGTTTCATGTTGATGTGTTCATGCGTGCACATCTGCTCACAGACTCATGTTCATGTTTGTGCTGATGTTCAATGTTTTATGTTATGAGTGCTTAGTGTATATTTAGTTGATGTTTTTCTTAGTTCATATCTTAGATGTCATTACTGTTTTTCTTATACATTTTATTGTTGGATGTAACTGGGACCCTGTGTACATAATTTCGCTCCACCACATGTACCACATGAGGTGCGAATGACAATAAAGAAACTCTGACTCTGACTGACCAGAATGATTAATTTACATGTTAAAAAAATTACAAAATCTTCAGGGGGGGGGGGATGTGCTAGGTTTGTCACCTCTTTCATCCCTTCTGAGTTTGCAGGTATGTCCTATATTCATACCGTCTGCTCTCTACAGACTCATGTTCAGGCTGCTATTTAATACACCATATTATATTATACTATTATTGTTTAGCAAATATCGTAAATCGTTGTTTACAGTTTCTTTTTATACTTTATGTTTTTGCTATACTTGTGTGTAACTGAGACCTTGTGTACACAGTTTTGTTCCACCTCATGTACTACACGCGATGTGATTAAGAAGCTTGAACCTTATTGTTCCCAGCGTCCTGGTTTTATATTTTATTGGTCTTTTTTTCTTAACGTTCTTAAATTTCATCTGGATATTTGCTCAGCTCAGTTTGACCTGCTCTGTTTGACCGACAGGGAGGGAAGATCCCGATCCGCTGGACAGCTCCGGAGGCCATCGCATACAGGAAGTTTTCCTCTGCCAGCGATGTGTGGAGCTACGGCATCGTCATGTGGGAAGTGATGTCCTATGGAGAGCGACCGTACTGGAACCTGACCAACAGAGATGTGAGCATGGTTTAATAAATCACACAGCTTTCATAGAAACAGGCCGGACCTGGTTTAAATGCTGAGTCAGCATTCACTCTATTGATTGGATGTTTTGGTACATGTTGCAGTCCAGCCATTACTGCGTACTTTGTGTTATTTTAGCCAGTCTTGTATCAAAACCTTTAGATCACCCAGTAGCACGCTATGGCTTTGAAATCTGCTTCTGTACACTTGCTCTTTTTTTAATTTATTTTGTTTCTTTAAAATTTTAGGTACCATTTTGCTACTTTAAATTTTTCACAATTTCGTTACTTATTCCGTACTTTCTGGTCTGTAAGTCGATACTTTTTCATAGGGTTTAAACTAGAGTTGTATTCGGGACCAAAAAAATCAGATCCGACCCGGCCCCAGCCCACAGTCATCATTTCTGAACCCCAACCGACTCGACGAATTAACAGTAATTACATGTCTGAACCCAGATAACCCCCCAACATTTTTAATTAGTTGTTAACAGTCGGGGATGCACGACTGAAGTAAGGGGCAGAAGATCGGAGCTGTGGTGGTGTTTGTCCTTTCATGGCCGTAAAAGAGAATTTAAACCCTGTTTCTGCTGCATTCTGATTTATTCAGACACGAACCCTGCTCTGACTCTTCTCAGATTCTTCCTATTCTCTTGTAACGTTGAGGAATAACTGCGCATGTGCCATTTTTAATGAGAGTCTATGGATTAGAGTCTTGCGCCCCCAGGGGCCAGAAATACGTCACCAATCAGACAATGTTTTTTGAAACAAACAATGTAACTCATCATTACTTTTAAAATATTTATCCTACACAACTAAAAAAATACATATATTTTGAAATTTTTTTATTTCATTATTTCATTTTTATTTTTATTTTTTTAAGTCTTCAATGTAAAATGAGGAGTAGTTCCAGTAGTTCCAGATGGGCGGTGCTCAAGCACCCCCTACTGATGAGCCGCCACTGAAAGTCATCAAAGTTCATGCTCAATCATCCAGGTACAAAATCTAATAAT